ATCCATTTTTTCGAAAAAATTTAGAAAATTCATGTGCACTTAGACAAGAAAGTGCAATAAATGACGTTTTTAAAATTTTCTTTAGCAACTAAAAACATGTCTTTTGGAGTCAAAATTTGGTTTCCAATTGGCCTTTGGAGGGACAAGTTATTAATTACTCTTTTCACTGTACCACCTACTTAATCACATTGATCTGCTTTAAGCCCATAGCTTTTTTCATGAAAACTTTTTCAGATTAAATCTATAAAACATTAAGAAAAATTATAGTCATAAAAAAACAAATTTGATAAAAAATTAATACTGCACATTGTTTATGAAGCTATATTTTCTGAACCGCTGCACTTGGAAGTCTAAAATTTCAAATTAAACCTATCTGCATAATGTAGATAATGATATGTAAAAATCAGCAAAATCTTAGATGGTGCCCCACAAAGTTTTCTCAAAATTGGTTGAAATATAATGATTTGACCCTGTAAATAATCTCACTTTTTCAAAATATTTAGCATGTTTCTAAAATGTTTTTTAAATTAGCTGCGGTCAAATCGCCATAGCAAAATGTAATTTGCCTGGTCATATAAAGACGTAAAATTGCACGCCTTCCTGTGAAAGCCTGATATTTAACATAATTAAAAATTATGTTAAATATATACAGAATGTTGCATAAAATCATTTTGATTCAAAACTTTTTTGATTTTTTTCTATAATCAAGATGAGAAATATCTCTTTTGTTACATACATGCATCTTTTTAAAATAGCATGAATTGTTTTGCCAGTTTATTTAACAAACTTACCCAGATTACAAGATTGGTTGATACAAACGATCTCTCTAAACTATTTCAATTAACTCTAACCTATTTAATAAGTGCTTGACTGAATTTTGTTTTCCTGCCTGCTGGAAAATGGCATCTGTGGTTTTGAATTTTATAAACTCTGGTGAACATTCTGACCCATTAAACTATCGTCCGATCAGAATTTTATCTGTAACTAGAAAGGTCTACGAGTCTTTAATCATTAAATTTCTAACATCTTATCTTGAGTCAAATAACTTACTGTCAGACATTCTTTTTTTGATATTTTCGCTCTAGGAATTGCTAACTGCTGTGACTGATTTTATTGTGTATTAGATGGAGGTGGCAAGGTTAGGGCTATTGTTCTTAATATATCTAAAGCTTTCGATAAAGTTTAGTATACTGGTCTTCTTTATTAGCTTGCTTCATATGGTGTACCTGGGAAAGTTTTTGAGATTATCAAATCATTCCTTTCAAACCGCTCTATTAAAGTCATCGTTGAAGGCCAACACTCCTCTTTATTTCTTTGTAACTTCTGTAATTTCTTCTATCCTTGAACCTGTTTTGTTGCTTATCTACATCAATGATCTTCCTAACAACCTTACATTTAAAGTGGCTCTATTTGCTGATGACTCAGCTTAATACTCCTGTCTTCTCAAGTGATCAAAAAGAGATCTTTATGTTTTCCCGAATCATACAATCTACAACTTTTTAAGTCTTCTGGTAACCATTTCCTTGTTCTTTAACTCTATTCTTTGTTTTCTAGTAACTCCTAACTTAATAGTGGTTGCTTGCAGCCTTGGTGAAACTGATTAAAAATAAAAAATAAAAAAAAATAAACATGGTTTATTACTATGTGGATTTTCGATGTTGAAGGCAACTTATGTCAAAGGTTTCTGCAAGAACTTGAGTGTGGAAAAACGTACTTTTAAATATAAAATTTTTAAAAGTAATAAAAATGTTAAAACCTTAATAACATTTACTTTTAAGTTATACATAAAGCAAGAATGTACAATTGCCCAAAAATTTACACCACCCATAAAAAAGAGGGTGGTGTAAATGGCTACCTTCAGAATCCATTTACATTTGCACTAAAGTCTTATTATAATCAAAGAACAAATCTTAACAAATTAAGATAGTTAACATTCTAAAGTTTGTAACTTGATAAAGTAACAATCAAATGCAAGTCAAAATAAAATATTAAACACCCCATAAAAAATATAATATAACAGAAAACCTTCTAAAAATTAATTATGCATATTTTAAACATTTTTTGACTTAATTTGCTTGGTTCATTTACATTAACTAGCTGATCTGACCTGTAAAAGTACGGGTCTTTTCTATACTTTTTCCTTATATATATATATATATATATATATATATATATATATATATATATATATATATATATATATATATATATATTTATATATATATATATATCCTAGCTTTCAGGACCCATAAAATACGGGTCTTTATAAAATCTACCTTTTTTTATACTTATCTATTCCACACCGATCATTTCTATAACTATGATTTGTTTACTTTAATATTTTTACGTAAAATAATTTATTTTAAAAAATTGCTTTAAGAGCAAAAAAATTACCATGCGCACCTTTTCAGCATACCTAGAGCTTATAAAAGATTTGTTTAACTCCCAAACACATATTATTGATAGCTCAGTGATTTAGTGCGCTGTGTCTTAAGTGTTGTTTTTGGGGATGAAAGACCTTCCCTAATAAATTTTGAATATTTTCAATCTTGCTGTGCTTATAGCAATATTTATAGCAAAAAAATAATTGAATAGCAAAAAGAACTTCAAATTGCTAAAATAAAATTCAAAAGTTTTCTCATTTTTATAGATTTATTATACATGATTGTTCCATATACTGCCTGCAATCTCAACATATGTTAAAGACTTTTACTTTTGCAGACGTTTGTACGCAAAGTTATACAAATAGCAGAACTAAGAAGATCTTAAGCCATTAAAAACTATAGACTATAAAGCCAAAAAATTATGGAGTATAATACTATTTTGATGGCTAAATTCTGTCATTGTTGCTTTTTTTATGTTTTTAGAATTTTAAGCTTTTTTAAAAATCTTTTAGTTTGTTTAAGTGTATAATATCGTTAGATAAGTTTGTATATAATCTTTATAAAATTTAACTAGTATTTTGTATTAAATCTAAAAATTTAAAAGGTGGTTGGACCCGAACCACAGCTTTATAGTTCAGAAGCTCAGCGCGCTAACCACTTGGCCACACTGGCACATTGACGTTTGAAATTTTTAAACTATATAAAAACTTTTTCTAACCAAAATTAATGCTGAAGATCAAAAATTAAGGAAAGGTTGACGCAATGCAATTTTCAAGCGAAAGTAAAACTGTAAGGCTTGAAATATGTTTTCGTATGTTTTAACATTACATAATTAGAAGTTTACGTTTGTTAGATATTTGCATACACTTTTGTTCACGTTTTCTTATAAAACAAAGCTGCTGCAACTCTTTCTCCCCATTACCTCGGTTGCAATGGCTGCCAAGAGTTCTGTGTCAAACAGGCTCGAAAGGGTACTACTACTATTACTACTACTATTAAGTTCAGTATTATTAATTAGATTCTTAGACTTATACACCTGATTAGTGTCAATCCTGTTTGAGAAGCTTGATCCTGACAATATTTTAACCAAGTAAAGATACCAAAAATTACAAAAAAATTAACTTAATATATTTATTGGCGCTTATACCAGAAAATATTTTATAATTGACTCTAGCCAAAATATGTAACCAAATAGTCAGGGTGCCTGTAAAAAGAAACTTTTCTGATACCCCTTGATGGTCAGGGAGGAGGTTGTAATACCAAGCCCTCTACATCCTTAAAAATTTAGGGGACTGAAGCCCCCTAAGCTCCACCTGTTCTGCCGGAACTACATTTATACATTATCATTATAATTTTAAATTGTAAGATTACTTCTGCTCCATAGGTTCTATTTAAGCTATCTGCAGCACCAAAGACAACAAGGTTATGACGGTAAAAACATTATCATTATTAAAAATTAAAAAAATCATCCTATTCTCAATTTAGGAGCAGCTTTAATCTTATTTTTTGTTTAGCAATAATCTATTAAACCCACCTGATAGTTCTGTGAAGAAAAAGTCCAGGTACCTTCCCCTTCAACCTATACCCCCTATCTGGGAGCAGTGAAGAGTCACTGGGAGCAGTGAAGATCGCTAGATTTAAGAGATTTCTTAGAGAAAAAGCTCTTTTTTGATTATACTAAAAACCTCCAACATGTTTTAAAGGTTTTGTGTAATCACTAAAAATAATTTTTACATTTAGTTTTGAAACTTTGAAATTCAGTGGCCTTTTTTTTATATAGAATAGATTCTGGGGAACAGAGTAAATATTTTTTCCCAATGTTGTTTTAAGCACTATCCTACTGGAAATACTAAAAGAATCAGTTAATCGTAAATATAAATTACTTGAGTTAATTGCTTAGCAATCACATAAAAAATGTTTGCATATAATAATTTAATAAACTTTTTATTATTTATGTTTTTCTATCTTTTAAATTTGATCACTATTATACTGTCTAATTCATCTTTTATGTTGCTAACTTTAGATTCTTGAATGAATATTGATTACAAATATAAATATATTTATAGTATAACTCGATATTAATTTTTGAAAACATCAATAAAAATTCCATTATAACTTTCATATAAATTGAGCAAGAAATAAATATAGCATAAAATTTAATATGGGATATTTTTAAAACTTGTGTGAGTATTTAGAATTTTAAACTGTAATACATTCATGATTTAGCAATATTTTCAAAAATGGAAAGGAGCTTGTTTAATTATCTAAGCTCAAAGTGATATAATTAGTTAATATAGAAAGTCAGAGAAAACAATCAGGAAAAACTATAGTTTTTGTACCTAATTAAAAATAAGTAACTGTTCCTAATCTACAGGTACATTCACTTGTTATACAACTATAAACAAAATTACTGATTTTATTTTAAAAAAATATATGATTTTTAAATCAAAAAGCTTTATGCATAAGAAATACACATTAAATATATACGCCTACAAATAACTAAAAATATTAAATGCATACGTAATAAGTATATAATTACGTTTTATTTTCATGTAAAGAAAATAATAAATTTTTGCCAAAAGAAATTATTTAAAAAAAAAATTATAAAAACTTTACTGTGCTAATAAGACGGCAAATAGTTAAGGATCGTGTAAAAAAATTAATTAAGTTTAATTCAGCTCCTGATGCAGCCCCACCAAAACTTCTGTTCTCCATTTTTCAAGTAAATAATGCTTGAACCAAATAATTACGTGCAGACAAAACAACGTCAGCGCTTTAAAGTCGATTTATTTATTTTGCGTGCGCGTATAGACGGTCATCTCGCATGTTCATTTTTAAAAAAATTATCAAGTCACGCGTCTTTTTTTTCCTATCCTTTCTAATGTTAGAGTACAATACAATAATATTTTTTTCAAAGATTTAACAATTATTCAACAGCCCTGAATTCCTGTTTAAAATAGTAGCGAAACTTCATACATTCATTACTAATTTTATTAAGAACCAAATTAATATTATTATGACACAATTTTAAAAAATTTCAATTGTTATAATTTTTATTGTTGCTTTCTTAAGTGTTCATTTTAGTAATAGAAGTCACGGACCAAGAAATATAGTATATTATTTATATAGTTATTAACAATGTGTTAATATTCTAAAACATGGCACGCATCAAGACAAAATAAAGAAAGAAATCTGTTGTATCTTATTTCTCTCTGTAAGGAGCAACAGAGCTTGTTAAAGAGTAAGAAACGCGATGGTGATCATGATGAAAAACGTTGTAACCTTTTAGCCAAGTTGGAATGTCTATTTTATATTGGGTCATCTGATGACATTCAGTAAATCAGAAAATCCAGACTTCTGGCAACCCAAAAGGAAGATAATAATGACATAGCATTTAATTTTCTAGCTCTGAAAAGATAAGCAACATTGGTAAGAAAGCAGTCGTGAGCCGTTAGATCTTCATAGAGCACCTTAATAACTAATAAAATTTCAAAAAAAAAAATCTACTTTACACTTAACACAATTTCTAAATTAAAAAAAAAAAAAATTATAAATAAATATTTACTTTTTTGTCCTATTAAATATCTAAAAAAAATGTTTAGAAATAAAAGTAAACAAAAGTAAAGTAAACAAAATCAATACTTTCATAAATAGTACATGATGTATCTCTTTTTAAATAGATAAAAATACAAGAAAAATAGTAGTAGTTAACTGAATTCAATTTGTTAAGGAACAAATGCGTAAACATAGTGTAAAATATAAGATCTACTATAAACTCCGTACACATGTTAGGAACGTGCAAGTATACACATAACCATGCGTCGTTTTTTTTTTTAACTGTAGAGACAAAAGATCTAGTGACCAAATTCCACCTTGTAGGTGCACTTAATTAAGCAGCCTTTTAGACTTAACTGAAAACTGCTGCAAAAAATTTAGCGATTGCAAAAAAAAGTGTGTTAATAAAAACATGCTAGATGATTACACTCTTAGTTTGTATTTCTTAGTTTTCAGCTATAACGGAGGCAATGGATTTCTTCAAAAGCTGACATTTACAGCATTAACAGAGTGCGTTGAAGTTTTTTAAATGATACTCTATATGGTAAAGTTGCGTTTAAAGGTATCTAGTCCGAACTTATACAAGTTAAAATATGTTGGTGCAGACTTGCCGGATGCTTTGAAAAATTAAGAAACTATGATCCAGTTGGGCTCCATAAAAACTTTTTGTCAACAATTAAAGAAAATATAGTTGAACAAAATTCCCAATAGTCAAAAGAGCTATGCAAGAAGGAAGAAAAAAAGGCTTACAATTGAAATTGAAGTTTTCATTTTTTTTTTTTTTTAATTTTTAAAAAAACCTTTTTAAGACTTTTTAAAATGAAAAGTCATTTTTTAAAAGGAAGGAAAAGCTAGAAAGACTGTTCTTAAATGTACTCCGCTTTGCCTTGCTGGTCTAATAACCTCTTTTAACCTATATAATAAAACAGGTATTTAATCAATCTATTTATTTATGCTACATATTTTATGTATGAGTGCATGTATATATCTATATATGAAATTACTTAGAGTACTGAACAAATCATTAGAAACCAGAGGTGAATTAGACCAAGATACGGATCTTGGTTGGATCCGAACAGCTAGTAATATATAAATAGTTTAGCTCAAGAAATCGACTGTCAATAGAAATATAGTTGTGTTTTAGGTGTTTTTTTTAGATACAAATATATTGTTATATAATGGCTAACTAATAGCTTACAGTATGTATACATATGGCTGATGCGGAAGATGGCTTTAGGCATATAAAAGCTTTAGGATCGTCGTTATGTTTTAGTTAGTGTCAAATATACAATATATAGCTATCGATATATTGTAATAACAACGCAAGTTAAAAAGCTACGATAAGTAGCTACACTGTTAAAAAAACATCACGTTTTTTACGAAATTTTCCGTTTCCGTTATTTTACGGTGTTTAAGGAATTTTCCGTATAAATTATGGAAAATATCTATCATCGTAATAACAAATATTTCCGTAATTTAACGGATATTTCCGTTAACAAGTGACTGATTTTTCTGTAAAATAACGGAAAATTTCTGGAAAATCTGCTGCCGGAAATTTCCG